GGTAAGATAACATAACAATAATTACAACATACTTATCTTCCAGGTACAAAAATATGTAAAAAGAAAATATGGAGCAGAAACTTACCTTAAAAAATGACATTATAAAATTTATTTTTAAAAGTCCCCTAGGAAAAAATTGAAAAATTACTGAATTTCTGAGGATAATAGAATTCCTCAGAGGAAAACAATAATTTAGACCTCATCAACATTAACAACTTTTTCCCTCTCAAAACTTTTCATAATGAAAAGAGAAATGACATACTAAGAAAACTATTTGAAATTCACATTTGGTAAAGCTTTTATTTCTTGAAAATGCAAAGTCCTCTTCAAATTTGGTAATTAAACACACCAACCAAAATAATCCTCTCAAAAAAATAATCAAAGGACGTGAACAGATGTTTCACTGAGGATGATAGGGAAAATCACAAATAAATACATTAAAACATTTCTGGTATCATAAGGTATTAGAGAAATGTGAATTGAAACCATAATAGAATATTATTCTGCATCTAACAGAACAGCTACAATTAAGGAGACCAAATGCAGCCAAGAAGGCAGAGAAACTGAATCATTTATACATTGCTGGCAAGAGTACCAAGTAGGTCAGCTATTCTACAAAAGCATATGGAATTTAAAAAAAAAAAAAGGCAAAAGAATACAACTAAACATGTGCTTCTGTCTCAAAGTGAAATATTCACAGTAACTCTGTACACTAAAACTAGCAATGGCAACCACGCAAATATTGTTCCACAAGTGAATGATTAAGAAAATTGTGGTATATTCATAGCATATTACTCAGAAATCAAAAAGAAAGATGTTTGATGCACAGCCATTTGGTTAGCTCTTAAGGCAATTATACTGAGTGAAATGAAACAAGCCAATCTGAAATGACTGTATGTTGCATAATTTAAATTATACAGCCTTCTTGAAGTTACCAAATTTTAGAGATGAACAGATTTGAATTTCCAAAGAGGTAGTGGAAAATGTAAACTAAAGGTTAGCGCAACAGATGCTGCCGCTAACACCGCGTTTTACCTTGAAGGTGGAGCTGCTTCATGTTGTTCACTTGCATGGAATTAAGCACTCATGCGCACCAATGGAAGCATGTTGGACCGGTGAGATCTGGGCTAGACTGTAGAGCATGTCAACGATAACTTCTTTTATGCTATTATGATTGAAGATGTTAGTTGTCCTTGAAGGAAACTGTCATTTTCCCACAATAGCGTGTTATCCTACCATTTCCTGGGAAAACATGGTTGTAGATGATGACCCAGTTTTTAAACTTTGGTAAAGAAAGTAAGATTTTTTTAAAAATGTAATTGAGTAGATGGGGAAATACAAGTCTCAATTACTGCTTTTCTTAACAAAATCTTGCCAATTTATTAAGTGCATATAACAATTTTCTTAACATTTTAATTTACTGAGTCATAATATTGCTTCAGAGGTTAAACAAAAGAAAACATGTTTGTGAATCTTCAAAATACATTTTGAAAAGCTGTTGGAAACTAAGGTTATTTTGGGTAGACTTGCTCTGCATATGTTATTATAATACATAAGATTCATTAAATAAAATATGTGGAATTAGTGGACAATTTTTTTCTCTTTTTTTTGAAGATTTATTTATTTTGTTGGAAAGGCATATATACAGAGAGGAGGAGAGACAGAGAGGAAGATCTTCCATCTGATCATTCACTCCCAGTGTTACAGCAACGGCCAGTACTGAGCTGATCTGAAGCCAGGAGCCAGGAACTCTTTCGGAGTCCCCCATGTGGGTGCAGGGTCTCAAGGCTTTGGGCCGTCATCAACTCCTTTCCCAGGCAACAGGCAGGAAGCTGGATGGGAAGTGGAGCTGCTGGAATTAGAACCAGTGCCCAAATGGCATCTTGGCCCATTCAAGGCAGGGGTCTTAATCATTATGCTATTGTGCTGGGCCCAACAAAATGTTTTTAGAAACCAAAAATATGCAAAAGAGTATATGTATGTAATACTCTTAGCATTTCAATTTAATAAGTAAGGATCATTTAATAATATGGTAGCATGATCTCTTGAAGTTAACTATTTGATGTCTCCTTGGATCTTTACATATATAAATGCATGATAGCAAATAAATATATATATATATATGTCAAACAGTGGTAATAAGATTAAGAACTAATTGGATTGAACTAGTCCACATGGTAGTGAATTTATAAAATCCTGAGAAACTTTGTACCTTGACAATTACCTATTCTCTTTAAATATCATATTCTAATCAGTTGTGCCATTTGAGCACCAGAAATATCCATTCTAAAACATGAGTTTCTTTAGATTTTTCATAGAATTAAAGTTTTATCTGAACTCATATTAAAATTACTTCATCTGATAAAAAAAATCCCTCAATAGAAAATGAATTCTGGAGTGAAGTTTTCTTTCTCTTTTTCAAATAAAACTCATCCTTTTATCTAAAGCTTTTCCCCTCCTGGTCCTCATGTTTCCTTCCTGTTTTTAAAACTTGTACCATTTAGGTAATTAAAGAAAAATACTCCCTAGAGGGTTTATAGAGCCTTTACAGGTCTAAACTAAAATTGAGAGGAAAAGTATGGCAATTTTTCACATTTGCTTTTTGTTCAGCAGGTGGGCAACCCCTCTAATAATTAGCTCCTCAAACAGAGGTGATGGGTTTGTTACATGTGATGAAGCTCTGGTCTCAGGTTACTATCAGCTGAATCCATAGTTACATGATGTAGGTTCTAGGGTTTGGACCAATGCATAGAACATGTGCTTCTCACTGTTCTCCATAGTTAGTTTACCCTAAAAGTCATCTGTGCTGCTCGTTTCATCTCTCCCTGCAACTACCAGTGGCAATTGCTGATCTTCCTCTGGTCTACTTGGGTATAGGAGGCATCCTATGATTACTTTATTAAAACATCAGTATTTTTTATTCTGACATTTATGTTTTCTGCTATGTCCCTGTAAAACCTTCTAGACAGAGGATACCATACAATGCTTCAATTATTGACTTGAAGTTTATTAAAGGAATGTAGAAAGATCAAATGTTTCTGTATTATACTGTCAGACAATATTGTGTGTACTTGCAGCTTAGGTTGGAATCAAATAATTCTAGCAATTTCTACCTCTAATATGTATTTTAATATACCTCTTGACAGTTACTTTGTAGTATAAATGCATTATTGAATCGTGTGCAATAATTTAATTTGTTAGCTCTCTGCGCTAACTTTTCACCTGAAAAACAATGCTTGCCCTAAATACCAAACGTTCAGCCAACACCCCAAAGTGGGATCAGAAATTGGTGTCTCACATTTTATCTTCAGCTAGAGTGAAGTCACGGGGTTAACGTCGCACTGATGATTTTGTAGAGTAGATTAACAATGCACTTGTTTTGCAAGGAAAATGAAATATCATTCTCCTAGGGGCTTTTGCATCTGAAAGATTATTTGTGATGCTTAATGCCGAGACTCCTTTCTCAGAATTTGGAATTGAAAAAAAAAAAATTACTCCTAGCCTGTGTGTCAGGAACCATGTAAAATCTGTGCTTTTCGCTGATATGCTAGGATTTTATTACTTGAACTTTACCTCCTAGTCTTCAATCCATGTAGTATTGGTTGGATAGTAATTGTTTGCTGAACTTGGTATTTACTCAATTGATTTTGCGAGCTTCCTTCTGTGTTGGAAGATTTTGTTTAGATGTTCAGGCCCCTCAAATCTTGTCTTCGACAAACTGTCAGTTTGCTTCTAAAATGAAGTTTGGAAAGTGAGAAGGTAGATTGAGGTGAAAAAGTAGAAAATGTGTCTTTTGAAACATAAAATAAGACTTTTTAACTGCTTTTATTTTTTATAATATATAATGGGATTGGTACATTAAATTTGACTTATAGCAAGATAGCATTAATACTGCAATAAAATTCAGCCTATTAAAATTGTAAATTTAGGTCCCTGAAGCATTTAGAGCTGATTTTTGTATAATGTGACAGGTGTGTTTCTGACTTCTTAAGTCTGCCAGCTGCTATCCAGTTGTCCAAACAGCATTTGTTGAATAAACCAGGCTTTTTTTCCTGGTTTGCTTTCAGTTTTCTTGTTAAAGATTAGTTTGCTGTGCATGTGTGAACTCCCTTCTGGTGTTTCTGTTCTGTTCCATTGATTTTTGTTTCTGTACCATTAACAGACTGTTTTGATGACTACTGCTTTGTAGTATGTCTCCAGGTCTGGAATTGTGATTCCTCCAGCTTTATGTTTATACTTCAGGATAGCTTTGGCTAGTTGTGGTATCTTTCGTTACCAGTTGAACTTTTGCATCTTCTTTTCTATTTCTGAGAAGAATATTTTTGGGATTTAGATTAGGATTGCATTGAATCTGTATATTTCTTTTGATAATATTGCTCTGCCAATAAAATGATTGAAATCATATCATTTGCAACTAGATGGTACCCACTTAAAGCTGATTATGTTTAGTGAAATAAGTCAATCCCAAAAAGACAAACACCATATATTCTCTCCAATAAAAGGAAACCATCATGCAAATTGGAATGTATAGTATTGGAGTAATGGAGACTACCATATCCAGATGCGAAGACACAATACAACATGCATCCCTGCTTCCAACTTAAAGATGGACTCTGAATGAAAGTGTTGAACATATCTGGACAATGGGATGATGGACTGTGTGACGTTGTCTGTACCAGCAATGTTGGGGCACACTTCAGCAGCAGACCCATGGAATTATAACTGCTTGTGAAGGAATGCACAGTTGTGATAATATGCAGAAAATCAGTCTGGGGCAGAACTGGGGAAAGGGAAATCCCAGACTATAGAATTGTACCATAAAATTTAAAATAAAAAATTTAAAATGTATCATATTGGTTGCTTTATATTACCTAGTTCATAGATTTTTTTGAAACAAATATTACCAATTTGTGATGCCACCATGATGGTGTTGATTTTCCTTTTTTAATTTTCAAAACAATATGAGATATGTGTGTAATATAGAATTTCTTTTACTTTAGATGAACTCACAAATTCATCAGAAACAAGATTGTCTTTAGATGACCTGTTCAGGAAAGAATTTGTTCTTCATGACCCGGAAGCTCGATGGATTAATGGTAGGTGTTATCTGTCTTATATTTAATTTGATTCTGCCTTATTAGAAATAAATAATGCTATTTGTTGTTAGTAATTTGTTGTACTTATCAGACTACATATTTAATTTGAAGTTAAAGGTTTGGTCATTTAATAGAGAATTGCTTCCTAAATAGTGCAGGAACAAACTACAGTCCAGTCATTAGTATGACTATGCTATATCTGCAGGCCTCTTGTGATCATTAATTATATAATGTTAAGGAAGTCCTGCATCTCCAGTATTTCTCTGGCCAACCCTACTTAGCGCAGTGGTTTAGATTTTGATAGTGTATATATAAGTGCTTAAAATTTTGGCAACATTATTGTTCCTTTCTGGCTTTGTGGCCTTCACATCTAAACTTACGTGCTACAAACTAGAGAGACTATTTGCGAAGCAGAAATGACTTGGAAATGATATGAAAATGTATGCGCCTTGTCCTTTATCTAGTGTGGCAGAGAAACAACCTCCATTTTTCATGAGTCATTTCTTAAAATACCAAGGTAAAAATAAAACCATCAGGACATTCCATCGGCTTGATTTTTCTTTATGGAAAGTTTTGGGGGCCCTTTATTCAAATGACGAATATTGGGGAAATGGACATTTGGTTTTATTCTGTGAATGTTCTGATTTGTCTGTCCGTACTCATCATTGAGGTAGGATAATTGTTCATCTGTGTCTTTCAGTTTATATAGACATAATATCTTTGCTTGTTTCCAAGGCATGGAGTCAATTATGTGTACGATGGATAAAAGCATCTTTCCCTTTTTAGCTAATAAAGATGATCTCATTTGCAGTCCATTCCTCCTTCTCTAATATTCTAATTAAGCACATTTATGCTGGAAAATTACACTTTAATTTATGGAGACTATAAAAAGATTGTAATTTAACTCAGGAGGTCAGGAACCAAGCAACACTTGTTTACCTGGCTTCGATTTTGTTCCAGGAGATCAATGGGCGCTGAGTTTTTTGTTTTTTTTTTTTTTTTGATAAAAGAATACATATGTTCAGTAAAAGTTTTGTGTTGTTTTCCTGTAAATTTGTGCTTCACTTATATCAGTTGGAAAATGACTATTATGGTGATGATACAGAGTACATGTTAGTGATTTTATCATCTATTTTTCCTCTTCATCTTGAATTGCTAACCACATTTTTACACTTGCACTAGGATTGTTTCAGGCGTATAATGTGAATATTATCGGCCAGCACTCTAACTATAAAGTTTTGAAAAAGGCTTACTATCTCCCAACATTCTCTTCATACAGAAATCTCTCACAAGTTGTTTTCCTAAGATGCTACTGTACTTATATAAACTGTGTATTTACTCCCTATTTATCATTTACTGTTGAAGGAGTTGGAAAAATTAGTTGGCAGGATTTTTAAAATGAACCACACTGTGAATTCTTAAGCTGGTAATGTGTAATGTGCCATTCATCATGTTTTTAGATAAATAATAGTAATTTGTGTCATTTTTGGGAAAAAAAGAAAAAAAAATCATGGCTCTCATTTCACTTCCCAGGTAGGTTAAGACTGTTTAAAGAGACATTGACTCCTGCACATAATGGACAGTCTGCTTCTGCAGCTCCCTAAGACTGAATGGGTAATTAAAGCGTGAATTGCAGGCCAAATTAATCCGGTTTTATTTTCTGGGCCATATATTTTACTCTAACACTACAGATGGTAAGATGCATTTGGAGTTAATCATGGTTTTCATTAGTTTTCTTACCAACCATTGGTAAACATGATCTTGAGAAAGCATCTTGACACAAAGTGCTTTAGAAATAATTAAGAAAACTGATATTTTATATGAATTTTACATAAAATAATGCTTTGACATGGGAAAAAAACTGAGTTCTGAGAGCATTTTCTTTGTAGGAATACTGTGGAGGGAATGAACTCACTCTCAGTATATTGTGTTCATTGGATGCTTTTCTGAGTAGTGAAAGAATTTTGTGCTCTTATCCAACATCCTTATCTTTGGTAGTCAATTGTTCTTGACTTATTTCCTTATGCCTCTCAGAGCCAGGAGATACCCTGGGAACATCTGAATAACATATTTGAACCTGGCCTCCTGAGCCATAATTATATCTAAATTTGAAAAATGAGCCTTTCCTTTATTCTTCAGTGATATCAAATTTTCTTAGAGTGTTAAGTCATTTGAAGGAGTTCAACAAAGCTTATTTGGAACTCTCATTTCAGTCATGAAGGGTATCATATAAAAAAGTATCACTAGTCGATGGAAAGTGGGGTGTTGAGATGGCCCTGGCATGTGCAGGCTGTAATGAAACAGCATCATTCATTACGCAGGTACTCCAATAGTGAGCTGACAATGTCATTGCAACTTGAATGGTTTTCTTGTTCATGGTTAGCTGAACTGCCTCACCCCAAAGCTGCTCATGTCCTTGAAATCTCCATTTTTATATCATTTTCTTCCGATTTATGTCACCTTGAAACCTGGAAATCCATCTTGTTTAAAATTACTCAACTCCGGATGTACCTTTGATGATCAATCAAAGAAAGATCTAACACTGAGTGGTTCTATGTTAACCCCAGTGATAGATGTTTGGCATTCATATTTCATAGGCTAGCGTATGGCATTGAAATTAACCACAGAAAGCTGAAGCTTAACCCAAAAACATATCAAGTGACATATCTAATAAAAGCCACAGCCTGCTTTAGTGATCCAGTTTAAGTATAAAACTCCAGTTCATGTTTGAGTGTGACTTGCTTCTTATGTATAATACATGTGAAGGCACATCAAAAAACTTGTGAGAATGGAATTAAAATATAATGTGACTTTGCTCATAACACACATAAGCTTACTGTGGCCGGCTCATGTGTGGACTCCTCCCTCAAGTGTTTGTTCTTCTACATCTCTTTGCTCATGAAACTTTCGTGTTGAGTGTTACACTAATATGTCCATCTCTCCACATCTATCCACATAGCATGAACTTATGCAGGCATTAAAAATAAAGTAGATAATCCTGTTTATTAACATGTTCAGGTTCTTACATACTGAAAAGGAGAACCAAATCATGTTCTCCATAATGTGTGATTGTTTTTTTTTCCTATCTATACTTATGTCAGTTTTTTTTTCTACAAATGGCTGTTGATGCTTGTTTTTTCCCTTTCTTAGACTCATGGGTTTCTAATTGTTATTAGAATAATCTCATTCCAAATACAGCTTTGCAATGTTCAATGAATAGCTATCCTTCTCAAAAACCTTATAAAGAATTGCTTTACCTATTGAAGAAACTCCATGCTCCTCTTTTTGTGCTTCTTTTTTGTTTAATTTTTATTTATTACTTATATGAAAAGCAAAGATACAGAAAGATGAATAGAGAGACCGTCCATCTGCTCATTCATTATCCAAGTGTCCACATCAGGGCTTGACCAACCTGAAAACAGAAACTCAATTTTAATCTCCCTTGTGGAGGTAAAAGCGATCCAACCACTCAGGCTGCTTCCTCATGATGTGGATGAAGATGGATCAAAAACAGAGCCAGGATGTGACTGAGGCACACAGCTTTGAGCTGTCATGCCCCACATGACCCCTTCATCACTGTACCAAATGATTATCCTTCCAGTATGTTTTTGTGAACTTCACCAATTTTATTTTGAAGGAAAACAGAGAAAGAGACACTGAGAACACCCAACTGCTGATTCACTCCCCAGGTATCTGCAGCACTTGATGTAGGGCGAGTCTGAAGTCAGGATCCTTGGGCATAGACACCCAACTCCTTGAACTCTGACTTGTTGCCTCCCAGGAAGGAAAATGGAATCAGAAACTCAACTAGGATTAGGGATTGGGTATTCCTGGAGGTCTCTCAAAAGCTGTACTAGGGCCTACCCTCTGTGTTTGCATGCTAAGCCTCTCAGTTTCAAGCTGTAGCCCTCTTCCTCTCCTTCTTTATGTTATACTTTGACTACTTTAGCTGTTTAATATTCTCATGTTGCAAAGACTTTCTAGTCTCTGTGACTTTAGCCATGTTATTTTTTCTACCTGGAATACCATCCTCAATTTGAAATTCTCAAATTTATCCTGCTACATGCCTGAGGCACTTGTACAATACTCATGACTGTTCTCTTCATAAATGCTGACCTCCCTCTGCTACAAAAAATTCTATTTTATTTTAACTATAGCATAAAAAATCTCCAGTAACCAAGAGTTTTAAAATACATTGTACAAAACTACCATTCTTAAATTTTAATTTATTTGTATTTCCCCAAGTTTTCATGAATAGCTTTGACAAACACAAAAAATATTAATTTCTAGAAAACAAATGATAGACATGCAAAACATTATCCCCATTTTATCATTATATTAAAAATACATAAAATTATATTTCAAAACCAGGAACATACCTGAATGGAAAAATGACAGTAACTAATTGTTTGAGAGTGTCTAGAGGCCATCAAAGGAGAAGATTATAACTGTATTTCTAATTTTGCTATTCCTAAATCAGAATGAGAATTAATATATTAATTTAATTTTAATTTAAATTTTATATTTAAACATATTAAATTAATATTAGTATAAATTAATAGAAATAGTGGTCACTATAAATAAATGACTATTTTTAGGTTCTGAAGTTATTTACCCTTGATACTTAAAAAATTAATGCAGTAAATGGTTTTGTTTCCCCATTGTTAACACAGCTGTTACATTACTGACAGCATACTTCCAGTGGATAAAGCTCTGTACAATGTTTCTACTTTTTGTTTTAATAACAGTGTCAATATAGATAAAACTAGTTTCCAAAGTTAGAATGATGATAATAGAGAAGGGTATTTTAACACACCTTTAATTAACCAAGTTTACTCTGAAATTGTATCAAATAAATCATATGACATTGCATTTTTAAACTTTTACATCAACTCTTCATCTGTAGCCAGTTGCAAAATTTCCCTCATAAAACACAAATAAATTATCTTTTGATAGAATTAGATCCCATTTTTTAAACATGTCAGAGTGAAAGTGTGTGA